CGTCATACTATTACAGGACTGACGCCACATTCACGCAATCTGGAAAACTCAATTCCGACTTTTCAATAGCGAACTATCTAAATGACGTCACTAAGACACGCCCCCGCCGCCTGTCAACTCCCGCCCACATGTTTCGGACAAACACTGCCGAAATGAATCAAATACCACTTGTCACTTTAGACGAAAATGAAATACCAGGGGCAAAATTCCACCATCAAACCATCAGGGATCATAGTGTAGACCAATTATAACGTTGGCTTGAATGTCTTCCAGTAGAAAGTTTGAGTTGATAAAAAGATAATGGTAAGGATTATGCTAACATTATCTAGTCATTTAAATTGCAATGCTAGCGCCTTCTTTGTTTGTTTTGCTGTGATTAACTTCCATTTATCAAGTTGTTTTTTTTTTGCACTATCCACTTTGTAATTAGTTTGATCATTAGTTAGCTACAGTCAGCTGATATTATAACAGATCCATGGGGTCACAACGGGTTACGCCACTACTGTCTCTGAGAGAAACTATCAGAGCTAGCCACACTCAGTAAACGCAAATGACAATCAATCGACACATTTAAATGTTAATGGGAGAATACATTATACATACATTCATAACACAAGTGCACGGAGGTTTTCAGAATTATCTGTTCAGGTTTTCATGACAAAAATACTTTTTTAATGCAACTAAAGCGATCGCTTTTTTAAAGTAGGTTAACTATCCTCACTGTTACTCGCCTGCCACGGGAAAACCTGTGGGAACTATTTTCTTTGCACTCATTAAATAAACCTTTCGGCATTAATAGTGAATGACGTTCAGTGTTGCCAACTTAGCGACTTTGTCGCTAGATTTAGCGACTTTTCAGACCCCTATAGCGACTTTTTTTCAAAAAAGCGACTAGCGACAAATCTAGCGACTTTTTCTGGTGTTATTGGCGACTTATCTGGTGTTTTGGCGACTTATCTGGTGTTTTGGCGACTTATCTGGTGTTTTGGAGACTCGTGAAGCACGTATTGTTCTGCTGTCCTCAACGTGAGCCCCTCCCCCGTCCCAAAGCACTTACAGGCGGCCAGTCTCACAGTAGCCTTGCGCAGCAGTCCCAGCTACAGTCTATGGGCGGAGCAGAGAGAGAGAGAGGAGACTCAAAAGCACAGGAAGTTTTCAGGCTGCTGCAGACTGAACTTCAGCTCCACCACCACCACACATCCAAAGCTCCCCGGCCACTCCTACCACCGCCACCCCCCACTACCCCCCACTCCATCCGCGGCAGCTCTGTCCGTGACTCTGTTTTCTCTCAGTAGTGGGTCACATTAAATCATTTGTTATGCCAAACTATGAAAAAAAAAAAAACTTACAAAAATAAACCTAAGTAACTCTGCCAGAGTGTGTCTTTTGGGTCACTTTGCCGGTCCCAAGCCCGGATAAAGGAGGAGGGTTGGTTGTAGAGCTAGCAATTTCACCCTACATAACAATCTTTTGATTACATTTGCTGTTATAACATTTAACAATACAGGACAAAACTGATGTGTGTAATGTGGATCTAGACAAAGCATTAAAATCATTAAATGTTGTTAATGTTGAAATTATTTTTGTACATTTGTAGTTCTAAACATATTTAGGGTGTTTTTACTCACTTTTGTCTCTCCCACGACCTTATTCCTCTCTCCTACAGCGTCCGTTACAGTTATTTGCAAATGGCAAATTATGCAAATTAGGCGATGACGTCATTTAGCGACTTCTAGCGACTTTTGGGACAGCCAATAGCTACTTTCCTTACTGAGGAGTTGGCAACACTGATGACGTTTATTTTGTGTGTTCAGTTGGTACAAAGCCGTATAATAAGCGGACCCCAACGCGCTTCGTCTGTGCTTATTTTCCGATAGTCACGAAGTTGAAAAAATCCCTCTCATCTTTCTTCAGGTGTGAGAATTGTATACATTCTGGATTAGGACAAACAATACTAATATGGATTGATGGGGCTAACTACATTCAGAAGAGCTCAGACGGACCTGATACAGCGGTCCAGGTCCAGTCCCAGCTAAACGTAGCTAGGACTGGATCTGGATGCTCCACAGTTGGTCCAGCGAAGTGAAAAAACATGTCCTTTTTAACCTTTTCATGAGAGAAATTCTGCCGACCACAAGCACCCACCTCTTGCACTTGTCCTGGTCTGATCTGGTCCTGGTCTGGTCCTGATCTGGTCCGATGTTGTGGTTTAACGAACGGGTTGAATGTTACTTTGATAGTCCTTTTCAGAGTATCTGAAATCGCTCCCACAAGCACCATAACTGCAGTGTTTTGTTGTCACCATGATTCAATGATTTAGCCCAAATAAATACACACGCGTATGTGGAGAACACAGTAGTACTCAACATGTCGTACACAATGTTTGTCCGAAACATGCGCGCATGCGCAGTCATCTGAGCTATTTTTAGCACATTTCGGAAACCGGACAGTGCCCTATCAGAAAAATGGGAATGGATTTTGTCGCACACTGATGGTCTTACTTTGAAAAACAAACATATTTAAGCCAAAGGTCCATTAGAATGTATAACTCGTCAGTTTATCAGCACGATAGCTTTGCAGAAATACGTTTGAAATGTAAAAGCAGTTTTTAGTAAAAGAAACAGGATATTTTCTCACATGAAAAAAGTGAAGAGTTCTGTGCTTTTCTCATGAACGAGCAAAGAATCCAGTTACAATTCTGCACGTTTGTATTGCTGTGGCCTCTTAGTCGATGCTGTGTGTATGTTTGTGTGCGTGTATAGGTGTGTGTATGTGTGTGTGTATAGGTGTGTGTACGTGTGTGTATCTGTGTGTGTGTATGCGCTGATCTTGGAAAATAACATTTCCCAGTTTCCAAGATCAAATGAACGCTGGAGGAGACAGGAGCTATAGATCATAAAACAAGGGAACAATGTTAAGCTAAAAAAAAAAACTTTGGCATGTCCCCTTTAAAGCTACTCCTGCTGCTGCTGTTGATGCTGCTGTTGATGCTGCTGCTGCTGTTGATGCTGCTGCTGTTGATGCTGCTGTTGAGGCTGCTGTTGATGCTGCTGTTGATGCTGCTGTTGAGGCTGCTGTTGATGCTGCTGTTGATGCTGCTGTTGATGCTGCTGGGGATTGGGATGGGGGGGTTGTTATTATTGTGCAATTTTTATATTGATCACATGCTGATGATAGTCCAAGGTTGCCATGGCTACAGGGCAGCATGACCATACAGAATAGTTGAGTAATTCCAAAATGATAAACAACAAAAAGGGCCTGTTTCTCAAAGCACGTCCTCCTGGAGATCATTCACACACTGTATACACATTACACTTGTTAAACACATATTGGGCCACAGCTGCCCTGGGGCACAGAAACATGGCTACCTCCAGGCTGTTTTCATCCTGGACCACAACCTTCACCTTTCAGAGAGCGGCGTTCTATTGACTTGGAGACTTGAGTACATCCAATCAATATCTGACTTACACTATGTATTTTGGTGATTGTTTTGTGGAGAATATTTCATATTTTCCATATTAGGCTTGTCGCCTAGATAAGTTTTGACTTGTTTTCACAAATGAGAACCGGTTAAGAACATCCCAAACGCCTGTATTACACATTCTCAGTGCTGTCAGTGTGAAGAAAGTTTTGCATTACACGTGTTTGTCGTGCTGTTATGTACAAACTACTGCAATGTTCCTCTTGTTGTAACACTGTTGTTGCCTGTTTCTTTGGCGTCTGTGTGCCTATCTGTGCTATTATTGTCTGACGTTAAACCGGTCCGTGGGTCAGCCCAGTGACGTGTCCACAGTGTATCTGCAGTGTACCCGCAGTCTGGTGTGTCACAGATAGGTGGAGCTGTCTCCCACTCGCTCCCTCTCTCGGGCCTGGGCCACTGCCACGTTGATGCACTGCAGCCACTCCTCTGCGTGTTTCTCGTCCTTAGCTTTGAGCACGTAGGTCTTACTGTCGGTGAAGATCTCGAAGGCCCGAGGGAGAGCTCTGTCCCGCCGCTTCCTCGCCACCACCTGCACCACAGCGAGACAAATGATCAATGAAGTCACAACATAGGACACACCCTAGAGCGACTGCATTGTACTGTATGTTGTGGTTGGAAACACAGTCTGGACCAAAATGACAAATATATTATGCGTTTCACATTAAAGTGCTGAAAAAGCATAAAACGTATCTTCATCTAACCCAGATCTCATCACAGCAAACCTCAGCTTTAAGTTTGGCTGTGACCGTTTCTTTTTGAATGACAATGCAATTAATCTACTCTCCTGCAAAAAATAGTATTTAAATACATCTAAAACACAAACATTAGTTTGAATTATACTTTTGAGCTGGGCATGATTATATTTTCCCATTAAAGGGGGTGCATGAGTCACTGTTTGATGCCTTGAGCTGGGAGCTGGTTGGCTGAGTGAGGGTGGTCCTTCTGTCTGAAAAGGCTGATCTCGAGATGTGACAGATGCACGTGAGTAATGATAGAAGCAAAAGAAGAACAAGTTTAGTAGTGTGAGATTTCATAACACTTTTAAGCAACATTTGTTAAAGTTAAACTCATCATTCTATCAATGTGCAGAAGCCAGTACTTTTCCCTTGTTTTGTCTATCTGAAGGCCAAGCTACAAGCACACCGTGGAAGCTGCTGATTGGAGGTCTCCATGCCTCCGCTCTGTATAATACACTTGCATTCTCTTGTATCTGTGATCGTGTGCTTTGTTCGTGCTGTCTCTACCATTGACAATAAAACATGTCTTCTGTCTGAATGAAAGACGCGATCCCAGACTTGGTACATCTTCTTCAGGTGGTGGAAGGATGCGGGCATTGTCTGTAACATCTAGAGAACAGGAGACTACTTTTTTTTTTACACAAAAAAGTGTTTTTTTTTAAGCCAAAACTGAAAAACCTCAAGAGAAACAATGCATCTGGACCAGCACATGGACAATCTGCACAGCCCCTGATTCCAGTCAGGCTGTGAGCTGCTGAGACATGGACAACACCATCGTCCTCTTTTGCAAGGACATAATTTGGAACAATCTGGATTTCTGAATTTGGACATAATTTGGACTGAATTGAATTGCTGAATCTGGACACTGAAGCTGAAACGTGTGATTGAAAGACACGTCACAGAAGAATTCATGGCTCGACACAACAAATGCAGCTGAAGAAACCAACACGGAGAAGTGGGAGAGACTGTTTTCAAAGCAATATCTGGAACCACCATCGACTGATGAAGTTTGGTATTTTACTGAAGATTGTTGACAAGTTTTATGAAAGATCTGAACATGTTTTATGAGTTTTCTGAGTTTTTGAAGTATTCCGAGTTCTGAGTTTTTTGAAGTACCGAGTGAAGTATGAGTTTTGAAGTATTGAGTTATGATGTTATGTTGCTGTTTATCGATCCTGATGGTCACACGTGAATGTATGACCAGAGGGGGGAATGTGAGATTTCATAACACTTTTAAGCAACTTTTGTTAAAGTTAAACTCATCATTCTATCAATGTGCAGAAGCCAGTACTTTTCCCTTGTTTTGTCTATCTGAAGGCCAAGCTACAAGCACACCGTGGAAGCTGCTGATTGGAGGTCTCCATGCCTCCGCTCTGTATAATACACTTGCATTCTCTTGTATCTGTGATCGTGTGCTTTGTTCGTGCTGTCTCTACCATTGACAATAAAACATGTCTTCTGTCTGAATGAAAGACGCGATCCCAGACTTGGTACATCTTCTTCAGTAGATTTTATCAAACATATACAGTAGGTTCATTTTCTTGGTATGAAAGCTACGTATCCCAACTTTAATCAAAGGAAGTTGCGTATAAAAACATGATCTTTATTTGTTTATTAGGGGCTTATAAAAGCATTGAATCTCAGGATTAAGTTTTTAATGCTAAATTTCAATACAATAGTATTGAAAGTATAGTAGTCAGTAGTGTTAACAACATAATGAGAATGGAACGGAGAATGTATCTGAATTACACCAAAAATCCTGTTCTGGACGAGGAAATCTGCCACAATACCACATTAAACATAGATTAGACATGTATATTATATAACAGCAATACAAATGTAAGGTTTTCTTTTATTTTTGTATAATCTTTCACTTCCGTAACATTATACATGGGGTTCAAAACACTGCAGGGGAGGTTGTCTGACTCACAGCCTCCATCTTTTTAATAATGAGACTGATTTAAAGTCCACACGATATACTAATTCACTTTTATTCAGTTGTGGATACTGCACATTCCTCATCATGTTTTGCAGTATTTTAAATTCTGTCTAATCAAAACACAACAGAGCTTTTGACATTTCACTAAATATGGATGAAATCAATTTGAAAGGAAATCCACAATAAGCCCTTTCATAATTATGTTTTATAGTTAGAGTTAGAGCTCAGAGTTGATCTTCAGTCCCCAGAGTGTGATCCAGAACAAGGATGTGTGACGGGATCCGGAGCAACTGTCCAACCACATCCAGAACTGAACTGTCCAAACACATCCAGAACTAAACTGTCCAAACACATCCAGAACTAAACTGTCCAAACACATCCAGAACTAAACTGTCCAAACACATCCAGAACTGAACTGTCCAAACACATCCAGAACTAAACTGTCCAAACACATCCAGAACTAAACTGTCCAAACACATCCAGAACTGAACTGTCCAAACACATCCAGAACTGAACTGTCCAACCACATCCAGAACTAAACTGTCCAAACACATCCAGAACTGAACTGTACATCCAGAACTGAACTGTCCAAACACATCCAGAACTGAACTGTACATCCAGAACTGAACTGTCCAAACACATCCAGAACTGAACTGTCCAAACACATCCAGAACTAAACTGTCCAAACACATCCAGAACTAAACTGTCCAAACACATCCAGAACTGAACTGTCCAAACACATCCAGAACTAAACTGTCCAAACACATCCAGAACTGAACTGTCCAACCACATCCAGAACTGAACTGTCCAAACACATCCAGAACTAAACTGTCCAAACACATCCAGAACTAAACTGTCCAAACACATCCAGAACTGAACTGTACATCCAGAACTGAACTGTCCAAACACATCCAGAACTGAACTGTACATCCAGAACTGAACTGTCCAAACACATCCAGAACTGAACTGTCCAAACACATCCAGAACTAAACTGTCCAAACACATCCAGAACTAAACTGTCCAACCACATCCAGAACTGAACTGTCCAAACACATCCAGAACTAAACTGTCCAAACCTATCCAGAACTGAACTGTCCAACCACATCCAGAACTGAACTGTCCAAACACATCCAGAACTAAACTGTCCAAACACATCCAGAACTGAACTGTCCAAACACATCCAGAACTAAACTGTCCAAACACATCCAGAACTGAACTGTCCAAACACATCCAGAACTGAACTGTCCAACCACATCCAGAACTGAACTGTCCAACCACATCCAGAACTGAACTGTCCAAACACATCCAGAACTGAACTGTCCAAACACATCCAGAACTGAACTGTCCAAACACATCCAGAACTGAACTGTCCAACCACATCCAGAACTAAACTGTCCAACCACATCCAGAACTAAACTGTCCAAACACATCCAGAACTGAACTGTCCAAACACATCCAGAACTGAACTGTCCAAACACATCCAGAACTGAACTGTCCAAACACATCCAGAACTGAACTGTACATCCAGAACTGAACTGTCCAAACACATCCAGAACTGAACTGTCCAAACACATCCAGAACTAAACTGTCCAAACACATCCAGAACTAAACTGTCCAACCACATCCAGAACTGAACTGTCCAAACACATCCAGAACTAAACTGTCCAAACCTATCCAGAACTGAACTGTCCAACCACATCCAGAACTGAACTGTCCAAACACATCCAGAACTAAACTGTCCAAACACATCCAGAACTGAACTGTCCAAACACATCCAGAACTAAACTGTCCAAACACATCCAGAACTGAACTGTCCAAACACATCCAGAACTGAACTGTCCAACACATCCAGAACTGAACTGTCCAACCACATCCAGAACTGAACTGTCCAAACACATCCAGAACTAAACTGTCCAAACACATCCAGAACTGAACTGTCCAAACACATCCAGAACTGAACTGTCCAAACACATCCAGAACTAAACTGTCCAACCACATCCAGAACTAAACTGTCCAAACACATCCAGAACTGAACTGTCCAAACACATCCAGAACTGAACTGTCCAAACACATCCAGAACTGAACTGTCCAAACACATCCAGAACTGAACTGTCCAAACACATCCAGAACTGAACTGTCCAAACACATCCAGAACTGAACTGTCCAAACACATCCAGAACTGAACTGTCCAACACTGTCCAAACACATCCAGAACTGAGCTGTCCAAACACATCCAGAACTGAACTGTCCAAACACATCCAGAACTGAACTGTCCAAACACATCCAGAACTGAACTGTCCAACCACATCCAGAACTAAACTGTCCAAACACATCCAGAACTGAACTGTACATCCAGAACTGAACTGTCCAAACACATCCAGAACTGAACTTTACATCCAGAACTGAACTGTCCAAACACATCCAGAACTGAACTGTCCAAACACATCCAGAACTGAACTGTCCAAACACATCCAGAACTGAACTGTCCAAACACATCCAGAATTAAACTGTCCAAACACATCCAGAACTGAACTGTCCAAACACATCCAGAACTGAACTGTCCAAACACATCCAGAACTGAGCTGTCCAAACACATCCAGAACTGAACTGTCCAAACACATCCAGAACTGAACTGTCCAAACACATCCAGAACTGAACTGTCCAACCACATCCAGAACTGTCCAACCACATCCAGAACTGAACTGTCCAAACACATCCAGAACTGAACTGTCCAAACACATCCAGAACTGAACTGTCCAAACACATCCAGAACTAAACTGTCCAAACACATCCAGAACTAAACTGTCCAAACACATCCAGAACTAAACTGTCCAAACACATCCAGAACTGAACTGTCCAAACACATCCAGAACTGAACTGTCCAAACACATCCAGAACTGAACTGTCCAAACACATCCAGAACTGAACTGTCCAAACACATCCAGAACTGAACTGTCCAAACACATCCAGAACTGAACTGTCCCAAACACATCCAGAACTGAACTGTCCAAACACATCCAGAACTGAACTGTCCAAACACATCCACTGAACATGAACTGTCCAAACACATCCAGAACTGAACTGTCCAAACACATCCAGAACTGAACTGTCCAAACACATCCAGAACTAAACTGTCCAAACACATCCAGAACTGAACTGTCCAAACACATCCAGAACTGAACTGTCCAAACACATCCAGAACTGAACTGTCCAAACACATCCAGAACTGAACTGTCCAAACACATCCAGAACTGAACTGTCCAAACACATCCAGAACTGAACTGTCCAAACACATCCAGAACTGAACTGTCCAAACACATCCAGAACTGAACTGTCCAAACACATCCAGAACTGAACTGTCCAAACACATCCAGAACTGAACTGTCCAAACACATCCAGAACTGAGCTGTCCAAACACATCCAGAACTGAACTGTCCAAACACATCCAGAACTGAACTGTCCAAACACATCCAGAACTGAACTGTCCAACCACATCCAGAACTAAACTGTCCAAACACATCCAGAACTGAACTGTACATCCAGAACTGAACTGTCCAAACACATCCAGAACTGAACTTTACATCCAGAACTAAACTGTCCAAACACATCCAGAACTGAACTGTCCAAACACATCCAGAACTGAACTGTCCAAACACATCCAGAACTGAACTGTCCAAACACATCCAGAATTAAACTGTCCAAACACATCCAGAACTGAACTGTCCAAACACATCCAGAACTGAACTGTCCAACCACATCCAGAACTGAACTCCATTTAATGAGAATGTTTTTAATATTCTGTGTGATGTCAATGTTTATGATTTATTGCCTTGTGAGATATGAACTATGGACTAAGGCAGTTTGTGTTGGAAAAGTGCTCTATAATTAAAGGTTTGTAACCTCGCATGTCACCTGCTGCTAACATGTACAGTAGTATTACCTGCTAACATGTGCAGTAGTATCACTAGCTAACATGTACAGTAGTATCACATGTTGCTAACATGTACAGTAGTATCACATGCTGCTAACATGTACAGTAGTATCACATGCTGCTAACATGTACAGTAGTATTACCTGCTAACATGTGCAGTAGTATCACTAGCTAACATGTACAGTAGTATCACATGCTGCTAACACGTACAGTAGTATCACATGTTGCTAACATGTACAGTAGTATCACATGCTGCCAACATGTACAGTAGTATCACATGCTGCTAACATGTACAGTAGTATCACATGTTGCTAACATGTACAGTAGTATCACATGCTGCTAACATGTACAGTAGTATCACATGCTGCTAACATGTACAGTAGTATCACATGCTGCTAACATGTACAGTAGTATCACAAGTTGCTAACATGTGCAGTAGTATCACATGCTGCTAACATGTACAGTAGTATCACATGTTGCTAACATGTACAGTAGTATCACAAGTTGCTAACATGTGCAGTAGCATCACATGCTGCTAACATGTACAGAAGTATCACATGCTAACATGTACAGTAGTATCACATGCTGCTAACATGTGCAGTAGTATCACATGCTGCTAACATGTGCAGTAGTATCACATGCTGCTAACATGTACAGTAGCATCACATGCTGCTAACATGTACAGAAGTATCACATGCTAACATGTACAGTAGTATCACATGCTGCTAACATGTGCAGTAGTATCACATGCTGCTAACATGTGCAGTAGTATCACATGCTGCTAACATGTACAGTAGCATCACATGCTGCTAACATGTGCAGTAGTATCACATGCTGCTAACATGTGCAGTAGTATCACATGCTGCCAACATGTACAGTAGTATCACATGCTGCTAACATGTACAGTAGTATCACATGTTGCTAACATGTACAGTAGTATCACAAGTTGCTAACATGTACAGTAGTATCACATGCTGCTAACATGTGCAGTAGTATCACATGCTGCTAACATGTACAGTAGTATCACATGCTGCTAACATGTACAGTAGTATCACATGCTGCTAACATGTACAGTAGTATCACAAGTTGCTAACATGTACAGTAGTATCACATGCTGCTAACATGTGCAGTAGTATCACATGCTGCCAACATGTACAGTAGTATCACATGCTGCTAACATGTACAGTAGTATCACATGCTGCTAACATGTGCAGTAGTATCACATGCTGCTAACATGTACAGTAGTATCACATGCTGCTAACATGTGCAGTAGTATCACATGCTGCTAACATGTACAGTAGCATCACATGCTGCTAACACGTGCAGTAGTATCACATGCTGCTAACATGTACATGAGTATCACATGCTGCTAACATGTACAGTAGTATCACATGTTGCTAACATGTACAGTAGTATCACAAGTTGCTAACATGTGCAGTAGTATCACATGCTAACATGTACAGTAGTATCACATGCTAACATGTACAGTAGTATCACATGCTGCTAACATGTACAGTAGTATCACATGCTGCTAACATGTACAGTAGTATCACATGCTGCCAACATGTACAGTAGTATCACATGCTGCTAACATGTACATGAGTATCACATGCTGCTAACATGTACATGAGTATCACATGCTGCTAACATGTACAGTAGTATCACATGTTGCTAACATGTACAGTAGTATCACAAGTTGCTAACATGTGCAGTAGTATCACATGCTAACATGTACAGTAGTATCACATGCTAACATGTACAGTAGTATCACATGCTGCTAACATGTACAGTAGTATCACATGATGCTAACATGTACAGTAGTATCACATGCTAGCATGTACAGTAGTTAATCACTGTAGTTCTATTATTATATGATGATAATATGTTGGATACACACTGAATAAAATAATATGTGTAATAAACATGTACACATTTCCAACTCTAAATATTTACCTTCACACTTTGGACCTTGCTCAGTTCTATGGGAACGTCGTCCATTTCATCTTTCTGTTAAAACATACAAACGCAAAAAAGGTACAAGTTAAAATATTGACAATCAGCTGGACCAATGTCTTGATAAATTGTATTCATTCATTGTACAAGAAATCACTGCCGGAGCAAACATCACATTCAACGTTTAGCACAACTGTAAACAACAGCAAGTTGATAAAATAAATACTAATGATAGATAATCTCTCGTCAATCAGTCACTACAAAAACATGCATAAATATAATAATCCCTTCAGGTCAAGATGAGTCCAACACCCATGACCTCCTGCAGCTCTCAGTGACTCACAGGGCTCTCAGTGACTCACAGGGCTCTCAGTGACTCACAGGGCTCTCAGTGATTCACAGGGCTCTCAGTGACTCACAGGGCTCTCAGTGACTCACAGGGCTCTCAGTGACTCACAGGGCTCTCAGTGATTCACAGGGCTCTCAGTGACTCACAGGGCTCTCAGTGACTCACAGGGCTCTCAGTGATTCACAGGGCTGACTCCTATTTATGAAAGGGATTTAACTCTTCTTATTGGTTGCTACGCTTCTGTCAGTCTGTATTATTATATATTAATTATATATTATTATATAGTATTATTTAATCACCACTGTGTATGGAGTGAATGAATAAAGCCCTGTGCAGCGTCTTTGAGTTATATAAAACCAATATTGTTATTATTGTTATTATCAACCAGCCACTAACCATGAGGACAACCTCCAATCTGGTTTCAAAGCGTCGCTTACTTGATGAAATGCAAATATTTAAAGTCTTACCAGAGGCAGGTGGTTTACTGGCTTATAAATGCATAGCCCATATTTGTAAATCCAACAGTGTGCATTAGGCCTTGTATTGTCTATCACATTCTGTTTGGAAAAGTCAACAGCTGCTTTTTATGAAGTTGACACTGAAAAAAGGTAGAGAATGACCAATAAAGTCAGGGATTTAAAAATTTGATTATAACTGCACCAAGGAGTGATGAGATCGTGGGTGTGTGTATGCGCGTGTCGTGGCATTGCGCAAAAAACTACTGCCACATCTTGACTTGGAGGTGTAGATGACGACTCTCCGAGTGCATGTTCTCATTTGGACATAGGCTCAGTATGTCACACAACTTAAGGATGTACAATACAAACAATCGTATACAGTCAATATACAGTATAATGTGAGAGATTGGCATTGCAAAGCCGAAAACTTGGAAGTCTCTCTCTCTTCAACTGCTTCTGTTTTGTTATATTATAAAAGCTCACATAAACTGCAGTACTGTATGTGTATCACCTGAACATTATACAGACATTATATACTGTACAGTACAGAATCCCAGGCCGATCCTTTTACAGTCTCTGACCATGTGACCCACGCAGCCCCCTCCTCTTCTCCTTCTCTACATTGCGATGACACATTTCCCCCAAAGAAATCACACGTTCTGTGATGTTTTACGTATATGCAGAGTTGGCGAGTGACTTGTCCAACGTGCCAATAATAACCCTCCACGCTCCCGGCCCACACGGACGCTCTATCGGGTTTCCTTTGGGTCGGTATTGGGACAGCATGGATTTAGTTTTGCTGAGTTCATGAAGACGCGATGAAAAGTTGGGTTAAAACATATGTGTTGTAAAGTGTGTATTGAATATCTACAGTAGCTGACCATATCCACTCCTGCTCGCCGGTCAGGGGTGTCCAAACTTTTGAGTAACAGGGCCACCGGATAATAAAAGCTTTTTTGGTTTGTGTTCTGTTGTGGAATTTCTAAGGATTGAAATACACAATAATTAAATATAAAATAAACAACCCAGAGCTGTAATACAAATCAAAGTGTGCTTTATTATTTCAGTAAAGCCTGGTTCACACGAGACGATTTTAAAATTGTCGGCCGATTTTTTTCTCTGTTTGAGACCCCACACACGGAGATAAAAAATCAAGGGTCTAACCACTTTGGTCGAACAGTGTGTGGTGCGCAGCCAAACGGCAAAAACACGCAAACCACACACATTACACACAAACTGATTTCACCCGCCGTCCATCCATTTTCTACCCTTTAATCCATCTCTGGGTCAGGGGGTTGGCAGTCAGAGATGCCACCCAAGTCTCATAGCACCAGCCCCTCACTGACCCTCTGCAGGTGGTGAGTCCACAGGAGGACAGCTGCTCTCTGAGTGTGAGCATAGCCTTAGATCTTTCAGTGGGGGCTTTGGGCAAAGTGGGGTTAAGTGTCTTGCCCAAGGAGACAACGACAGCAGTCATCAGTGGGAGTCGATGGAGAAGGTGCAGAGGTGGGAATTGAACCCACGACCTTCTGGCCTTAAGGCCAATGCTCTACCAACTGAGCTACTCACCCCCGAGCATTCCAAAATCAGACGGAAATCTCACAAAATCTCTCGAGATCAAACGTGACTTCAGAGTAAACATTCATGGCGGACGAAGAGGATGCAGTGGCGATAGTTTGTTTTTAGCAGAGAAAAGACGTAATCCAAAGAAAAGGCCAAAGAAGTGTAGACGACGCGAGCATGGACTGTACTTGTTACATCGGGATATGGAGGTGAGATGTTCTTTTACGGTGTTTCCTCGCCGCCTCGTCTCGTCTTCTGATTGGCTACACGCCGCAGTCATGGCAACGCGCTCGTCTGTCCTCGGGGGACACCACACACAAAGAGAAATCGGGCCAAAACAATCCAACATGTTTGATATCCCCGATATTGAGATCGGAGCAGTCCCAAAGTCCTTCCGAGCGACGAGCGCAGTCTTAACACACCACACACGGAAAATCCATCAGATTTTTTGTTACGATATTCAGAGCGTTCTTACGATTGTCGTAGGGGTAAATCGGGTCCAAAATGGGCCTAATTATCCTGCCGTGTGAACCAGGGTTAAATGTATACATATACAAGAAATACAACCGTGTCAACCGCGTGGCAGGTCCAGGGTAGATCTGTTGAATAGTGCTCACTCTCTCTAATATTTATAGGATGGAACAAACAGAAGAGTCTATCTATGGCGTCTCTGAGTCCGAGATTAAGTGGTAACAGCCTCAAACCCCCCTCTCTCCTGACGTCTTACTCTGATACGACTCTGATACGACTCTGATATTAGGAAGAATGATCAGTATGACCGGTGAGCATGCTCCTCTTGCCCAGATATCAAGCTAGTATCTGCCTCTATCAGATATCATATCATTGGCCTTTTATTTAAATGAAAAGATTATATGAAAAACGGCAACATTTTAAGAAGCAAATTGGATGAACATTGTAGTATTTCCTTCCAGCCAGAACAGGTTTGTGTAATTTTATGGCAAAATAGAGACTTTAAAGTTTTGTGAGTATAGTTAAAGAAGAAATAGATTCACTATTTTTGGCCATTGGAATGAACGTCATTTCACTTAAGAGTTTCCAAAAATCTGATTTATGTGCAAAACTAGTTAATTGTAACGAACGGAAAACTCCTCCAAGTGTAATGTCATAGCGGAACAATGACATCATACTATTACAGGACTGAGCTTTTAGACTGACGGGGCAGAGTCACATCTTTGTGCCAGAAGTTTTGTTATGATATAGGCATGGATGGATCTAAAAACAACTCCAGGTCAAGTGCTTTACAGTTTAGGTCAAAACGATCCAACATGCCCAGCTCTAAACCCCACCTCCCCACAGACCCCCCCAAAAACCACATTTATTATTATATATACACCCACATGCGTATACACACACACACACACACACACACACAAATATAAAGTCACATCAGGTACAATAGGTAAAACAATATAAAGAAATGGGGCTGGGAGCAGATGTAACCGGCTGAAGAAGCGCCATCCAAGGAGCCATCTGCACCAGGAGCAGAGATCCACCTGCAGCCACAGGGAACGACACAGGATCCAGAGGAGAGAGGACCCCCCAGACCCCACCAGGCCCAGGAGTCAGACCCCCTTAGGACCCAGAGGAGAGAGGAGGCCCCAAACCCCCGCTAGATCCAAGAGCCAGACCCCCGCAGCCACAGCGGACCCCAGCTTCCGGTGCAGAGGGCTCCTCCAGAGGAAACACTGGGGATACTAAAACAATACAAGAGAAAGCAGACCATTAAATTGTGACACTAAAAAGAAAATGACAGCTGCCTAATATAAATAATAACAATAGTAAATGGGTAGATAAAATAAATAAATAAAAACCAAAAAATAAAATGTGACTAAAAACATAAATAAATGTGCTAAAACACAATAATAATTGATAAAAACGAATCAAAAGCTAAAAAGGTGCGTCTTGAGCCTGCTTTTAAAAACATGAACGTTCTCTGCGGCCCCGAGCTCCTCCTCAGACTGTTCCAGAGTTGGGGGCCGTAGTGCTGGAAAGACGCCTCACTCTTTATGGTGAGAGATTTCTTCTTTTTGACTAATAATTACAGCCCTTGTATTTTGGTCTGTTCTGAGCTTTAAAAGGAGGTATGCTGTGACCATACTGACTTGCATTTGATGGAGCTGAAGTTGGCTGAATGATAAACGCAGACTTTCTCACTTGCTACATTAGCGCCATCGAAGGGAATCGGTGCCACGCTCACAAACCAATGTGGGTATAGTTAAAGTAGTGGCTGGATGAAGATGTGTTTATACTACTACTACTACTACTACTACTACTAACACTGATACTGCTACTGCTGCTACTACTACAACTACTACTACTACAACTACTGCTGCGGCTACTGCTGCTACTGCTACTGCTGCTACTACTACTGCTACTGCTGCGGCTGCGGCTGCGGCTACTGCTACTGCTGCTACTGCTACTGCTACTGCTGCTACTGCTACTGCTGCTACTACTACTGCTACTGCTGCTACTGCTACTGCTACTGCTGCTACTACTACTGCTACTGCTGCGGCTACTACTGCTACTGCTACTGCTGCAGCTGCGGCTGCGGCTACTGCTACTGCTGCTACTGCTACTGCTACTGCTGCTACTGCTACTGCTGCTACTACTACTGCTACTGCTGCGGCTACTACTGCTACTGCTACTGCTGCTACTGCTACTGCTACTGCTACTGCTGCTACTACTACTGCTGCTACTACTACTGCTACTGCTGCGGCTACTACTGCTACTGCTACTGCTGCTACTGCTACTGCTGCTACTACTACTACTGCTACTGCTACTGCTGCGGCTGCGGCTGCGGCTACTGCTACTGCTGCTACTGCTACTGCTACTGCTGCTACTGCTACTGCTGCTACTACTACTGCTACTGCTGCGGCTACTACTGCTACTGCTACTGCTGCTACTGCTACTGCTACTGCTGCTACTACTACTGCTGCTACTGCTACTGCTGCGGCTGCCATTGCCACTGCTACTGCTACCGCTACTGCTACTGCTACTACTACTGCTACTACTACCGCTACTGCTACTACTACTACTACTACTACTAGAAAATAGACAAATAAACATTTCCCAGATCTCAATAGTGTGCACTTCCCCTTTAACATTCACGACTATAGTCTATAGTGATAGTTGTAGGTTCTGTATCCTCTCTGATGGTAAAGCTGCCCATTCTTTGTTGCAAAAACCCTCCAGTTCCTGTAAATTCCTGGGCCGCCTTGCATGAACCGCACTACTCTAACATCTCCCAGGGCCACGATTGACCCAATTGCCTGACTTAAGCGGAGTGAACATCCCGAACGAATCGCATAATAACATTTTGTTTTAGAAACTTGTTAAAAAAACGTGTGATGGATTCATTGGACTGGCTTGTTTAATCTCCCACATAAATAAACAGCTTCAGTATCCTCCGCTGCCCGTTAGCGGCGGCTGCCAGGAGCTGCACAGATCTGCCCTTTGTTTTTAGCACCATGCGTCTGCTCCCACTTAAAGGAGACGTTTAGTGCACATCACAACACAGTGAAACAAAGGGGATTTTGTCCTGTTCTCCGCTGTAATAAAACACAAAACCACCGCTTTTGACCACGCCGTTTCTAATACATGCAAACAGTTCTGTGACTCTGGGGGGTTCAACTTGTGGCTTCTGCAAAAAATAACATTAAAACATGATTGGGCTATTGTTTGGTAATACACGGGAAGACAATAGGAAATTCCATCCTTGAGAAAATTGTCCTTGCGTGTGCTACTTTTGCGCAATGATTGGAGCTCTGTGGTGATGGAGGAGGTGAGTCATGGGTCCCCCCCCCTGAGCCCACCGTCCGGGGTTAAACAAAGAGGGAATCTCCAGATGTCATTGGAGTTCCACTTTCATCACAGTTGTAACGAGGTGGATAAATAGAGCATCAATGGGGGAGTAAAACAGAAAAAACATACAGATGTACTTTTTACAAGCCCAGGTCCAAATGTCCTGGTTTTCTAATGTTGTAGATTGTGAACGATAACGCACATTTTATGAATACAAACATCAATTTCTATATTTCTTAACTTTTGTGACAGCCATAACAGTGACGTACACGCACGCACACACACACACACACACACACACACACTACAACCCAAAAGCAGATTAGAACCCCCCCTCCCCTCACTAATTTCTTTTATTCCTTATAAGTATGATAATGTATTACATATAATGCAATTTGTCACTTTCTTCTGTGTTCTTATTCATGTTCTCTAATCACAATGAAATGTGTGTAAACTTTCGAGCACATCTGTATTTCTTTTTCCATTCCGTCTGTTCTTCCAGAACCGCCATGTTGAATCATGCCGGTCTGTGATGTCATAGATAGAGCTCTGCAGGTTCCCTTTCATCTTAGACTGTTGCACTTGAACAGGAATGTTGTAAGAGCAGCTTTTGATGTCAGCGAGGACGACGTTTGGACCTGTAGCTTCTCCTTCTGAATCTCTTATGTCCTTTTCTATCTTTGTTTAAACAGAGCTGCAGTTCAGCTCTGACTCGTGCAACCCTCCTCCTCCCCGGGGTTTATCCAGTAACAGTGCTCAGGCCCCAGGGGAGTTGAGATTTCACATCGTTTCTTGGTCCTAAAAAACTATCATCTTTACTTAATATTTTACACTGTATAATTGTTTTCTCTTTAATGCTTGAATACCTAACTCCCTCCCTAATAAATCATACATGTTGTTTTTCCCCCAAGTCTTGCAAAAGTAAAATGTTGCGATCCAATCAACCACATCTCATTAGAAAATCTGTGATCTTTTGCACACTGGTAAGAAAGAGCCCTGTGAGTCACAAACTGACTCTTTGGCCTGAAAGCTGATTGACTGAGAAAAATTTGTCCTCTTGTGAACATTAGTAATAGAAGCAAATTGTTTTGAGAGCGAGGAAATAGTTGGATGGATTTTGTTTCAGTTTTTGGGTTGGAAGCATAGACTGTATATATTAACGGACGTAGTCACATCTATCTCCGCCGTTCTAACTAATGGGCCAAAAATTGGGCTTTCATGGAGTGATTGAAAATGGCCGCGGGGGCTGGAAAATGTGAAAAAACGCATCTGCGCATGTGTCAGCTGCACGAGCCCCATTCATTTAGACGAGTGACTTCAAAAATTCACAGTGAGTAAACTAGAGTGGTCCAAAAAAATCCACCCCCCTCAGCATTGACACACATGTGGAACGGAGCTTTGGGCCAAGAGCCAACTTTTGGTCCATCCTGTAAAGACGTTTTCAAGAGGTCTGCCAATGCTATACGTTAGCATTGGCTAATTCTTATTCCGGGTCCACCCCCATTGGCCCGGGGTGGTATTCCAAGCATGTCAGCGCACGTCATTTTGGCCACTTTTGAGCCGGGACCTGCCCCCACTGGTTGAAAGTTGGTTACCCCCCAGGCTTCTTTGTTTGGTGTGCTCATACCGATTTGCCGCCTTTGCGAAAGAGCAGTTGGTTTCCTGCCAGAGTGAAGTAGCGCGTCTTCCATCTCTTGATAAATCTCCATCTGATCTGCTTCTCCTTTAGGTTCCCCTCGATCAGCGGCTGTCCGTCCTGGTTCACCACTGGAAAACAAACATGCACAAATATAATGTCCACAGCCCCACACTGATACAGTTGGCCTTCCACTGAAATGTGCTGAAATAACACAAAAATAAAAATGAGGGTTACTTTACGACTACTGTATTTACAAATGTGGACAATTGGGACAAGAAACTCAGGACAAACAACCTCCAATCACTCTCTTGCTGGAGAGGTATGGTTTACTAAGAAATGTCCATAGCTGTTTATTGGGTGGTACTAATGTCTATCATACGCTGTAGGTGTCTGCACGTACACACCAATCACATCAATTGCAGAAATGTGACAATAAGTTAAAAGGTGAAAAAGACAAATGATGAGTGCACAATGTTGCTGAACTGCTTTGTACAAGTTAAACATGAGGAAATATAGTGTCTGTGCAGAAGTGCGTCCCCAAATCTATGCAAATAATTCAGCCAGAGTTTCCAGGTTGACGTGAATTTCGAAATGACTTGGAAGCTCCAGCCGCGCGTCATCACAGAACCATTTTTCAGTGGACACCTCAAAATCATATACTAGTGTTTTTCAATCATACATTGGTGTGTCTTGAAATGTTTGTTAGTGTGGCTTGGAAACGAGCCAATACCCCCTGCTTTGTTAGAATCATGTGAAAAGAAAATAATGAGATTTTTTTTTTTTTTAATCAGGCCAATTCGGGATTTTACATGGTTTTAACCCCTCCATGTTTCTCTTTGATGTATTTATGAACTTCTGATGCTTTTGCTTTGTTTTGTTGTTTGTGGTATTGTTTTTTCATCTGTTGCACTTTGAGGTTTCCTGAAAATGTAAGATGCAATATAAATAAAATGTATTATTATCATTATAAATATATATATTGTTGTTAGAGAAGTAAAATGTATTATCATGGAGGAAGAAAAGTCAGGTACCCCAGCATCTGCATACGGAGCTGGAAAACGGCAGACTTATATCAATGAATGTGAATCGGAAGGATTATGGGAGCAGTGATCACTACATTTCCTGTCGATGGCAAAACTAGAATTGGGCCTAAAAAGACATTGCTTAATGGCACGTAAACAGCTGACTCAAATATACATGATTCACTCCAAATCCACGGTCATAGATAAAATGGTAAAATTCATATTGCATTAGGGGTTCCGTTAAAATGCTTGATCATAAAGTCACTGATAGTGTTCCTTCCTGTTGCGTCACAAACATAATTACTCCATTCTGGCCGACACCCGCCGACTGACGGAGGTTTACGGCTCGCTCCAACCGCTGAGCCACAATCGGCCTCTGTTTTGTGTCGGAAATCCTCGTAAAGCGGGAGATAAGACACATCTTTGTGCGCTGGAAGTGGATGAAAGTGCAGCGGTCAAGTCAATTTAGCCACAAAACAAAGTGTATGTTTTCAATCAGGCCGTGCAGGAGTCTCCCTTCAGTCCACAGGAGAAGGAACAAGATGCCTTTGTTCTAGGCCCGGGAGAAAAGCGAGATTATGTTCCACAGTTTGACCTGCATTTGCATGTAATGTTGAACTCATGTGGAGAAGAGACGGAAAAACATGCACGAGCCGTAAGTTACACACGACTGATTCTGTGGAAACGTATTGGAAGGAGATGCGTTTGTCTATTTTTATCACACAGCAATTATTCATAAAATACACAACAGAAACGCACAAACAAAATTTATTGAATTAATAAAAAGATTAAAAAAATATTCAAATTCACATAAATAATTATAAACAATTGTTATTATTATTATTTAGGGGCGACAGTAGCTCAGTTGGTAGAGCATTGGCCTTTGGGCCTGGAGGTCGTGAGTTCGATTCCCACCATGGGACCTACTCCAACTGCTCCCACTGATGACTGCTGTCGTTGTGTCCTTGGGCAAGATACTTAACCCCACGTTGCCTGAAGCCCCCACTGAAAGATCAAGGCGATTTCTCAACTGACGGAGCAGCCATCTTCCTGTGGACTCACCCCCTGCAGAAGATCAGCGAGGGACTGGTGCTATGAGCATTGGGTGGCAGCTCTCATTGCCACCCCCCTGACCCAGAAATGGACAAATAAAGGGGTTGAAAAACATTTGAATCTGGGGCTCATTCATTTATTCATTCATTTTCTACCCCTTCATTAGTCCATTTCTGGGTCGGGGGGGTGGGTCCACAGGAAAATGGCTTCTCCGTCAGCGGTGACACAGCCTTGGTCTTTCAGCGGGGGCTCCAGGTAAAGTGGGGTTAAGTGTCTTGCCCAAGGACACAACGACAGCAGACATTAGTGGGAGAAGTTGGAGAAGGTCTTGTGGGGGGGATCAAACCCACAACCTTCAGTCCCAAAGGCTATCTGTTTCGGCCACTGTTATCGGTGGCTGTTATTTTGAAATCAGCCATAGTGAGTAACAGACTTGATTTCACTACCATACACCATTTATGTTTAATTTTCAATTTATAAAGTTCCATGCATCCATCCATTTTCTTACGCTTTATCCGTTGCCGGGTCGCGGGGGCAGCAGTCTAAGCAAAGACGCCCAGACTTCCCTATCCACACACACTTCCTCCAGCTCGTCCGGGGGGACCCCAAGGCGTTCCCAGGCCAGCTGAGAGACATAGTCCCTCCAGCGTGTCCTAGGTCTTCCCCGGGGCCTCCTTCCGGTGGGACCTGCCCGGAACACCTCCCCAGGGAGGCGTCCAGGAGGCATCCGTAACAGATACCTGAGCCACCTCAACTGGTTCTTCTCGACGTGGAGAAGCAGCGGCTCCACTCCGAGCTCCTCCCGTGTGACTGAGCTCCTCACCCTATCTCTAAGGGAGCGCCCAGCCACTCTGCGGAGGAAGCTCATTTTGACCGCTTGTATCCGCGATCTCGTTCTTTCGGTCATTACCCAAAGCTCATGACCATAGGTGAGGGAGGGAACGAAGATTGACCGGTAAATCGAAAGCTTCGCCTTTCGGCTCAGCTCCCTCTTTACCACAACGGTCCGATACAGCGACCGCATCACTGCGCACGCTGCACCGATCCGCCTGTCAATCTCACGCTGCATTCTTCCCTCACTCGTGAACAAGACCCCGAGATACTTGAACTACTCCACTTGAGGAAGGACCTCTCCACCCACCTGCAGAGGGCAAGGCACCTTTTTCCGAGCACCATGGCCTCAGATTTGGAGGTGCTCATTCTCATCTCAGCGGCTTCACACTCGGCTGCAAACCGTCCTGGTTCGTTGGAGCCAACAGGACAACATCGTCCGCAAACAGCAGAAATGAAATCTTGTGGTCCCCGAACCGGACCCCCTCCGACCCCTGGCTGCGCCTAGAAATTCTGTCCATAAATACAGTGAACAGAACCGGTGACAAAGGGCAGCCCTGGCGGAGGCCAACATGCACCGGGAACAGGTCTGACTTACTGCCGGCAATGCGAACACAGCTCTGGCTCTGGTCATACAGGGATCGGATGGCCCTCAGCAGAGGACCCCGAACCCCGTACTCTCGAAGAACCCCCCAAAGAACACCCCGGGGAACACGGTCGAACGCCTTCTCCAAATCCACAAAGCACATGTGGACAGGTTGGGCGAACTCCCATGAACCCTCGAGTATCCGATGGAGATAAAGTTTATAAAGTTTTATAAACTTTTTTTGCATCGCCCTAAATCACAAAAGCAGTCGTCTTTGTTCATAGAGGGCGGGATGAGCAATGTCCATAAATCACAAATTCGATCATCCCTGTCCTCACACCCTCCTGCATCGCCAAGGAACAACTCGATAAACCCGGATGGGGAAAAAAAAACAGAAACCTGCAGAAGCCTACATTAAAATATGATCCAATTGAAATAATCTCAAAATGGAGAAATTTACACAAAGAGAGGGAGCTGCTTGACCAGAAGGTAGTAATTATGTTTGTGACGCAATAGGAAGGAACATCTCTCATGCTATCAATCAAATGTAAAGCTCAAACTACTGTATCTGCTGATGAGGAGCTTTTCAAATCAGTGTGCGTGTGTTTGTTTGTCTGCGAGTATGTGTGTGCATCTGTGTGTGCAATGACCAGACAGATGCACACGCAGATACACTCACAATTTCAATTACAATTTCATGGACCAAATTTCTGCCATAATGTCTCCATCCCGATCAAAAAAGTCAACATCCACCTTGTTTATTGTGTTGCCATATAAGAAAGTGGCCTTGTTACTCAATCATCATATTCATTACAATTACACTATTTTGGCCCCAGGACTCTTCTATGACTTCCACCTCTGTGAGATGAGGGGCCGAAATGAGTCATCCAATGCTGCTTGCGGCTTGAACACACAGTAGATTGATCTCACAAGTTCAGCGTTGAAGTGCTGACTCCTGCCCCCCGTTCCGTCTGTGTGAAACCTCCATCGACCTGTCTGCTTATTGTGTGAAATATTTGTCTGTTTTGTGCAGAAATAAACACGTGTGATAAACATTAAATCATGTGGAACCAGACTTTGCTTTGATGGAGACACCTGGAGCCGCAGCCGCCTCCGGCCCCAGCGCCTCCTCGCAGCCTGCGCAACGACGTCGGGCAATTAGTGCAGCAAACATCCATTTATCAAAGTCTCACCGCTGTCTGTGCACTCGCAAATATGATGTCAGCTACAAAAACTATGTCCAGTACGATGCCAATCTTCTTTTTCCGAACTGAAATCCATCCTGAGACAGCGGCAAAGATCAGGTGCCAAAACCAAATATGAGAAATGTCCATCTTGTATTGTATAACTAGGGGCTTTATTAGTTCAGAGCAGACTGTGTGTAGTTTTTGGATCAATAATGACACCACTGGCTCCGAATGGGGAGCAGAGATAAGGTCAGGCCAGATATACAGTATGTCCAAACCTCAGCTTTGTTTCATAACTATCTAAACAGTTATTAAAGCTGCAATAGTTATAAAATATATATGAGGGTCAGATTACCATTATACTTTGTACTATTTGGTTTTCAATTCAATGTAATTATGTACTGCCCTAAATTGTCGTCTCTGAGGACTTTCCAAAGTTTTGCCAACAA